CGAGGAACGACTGCGACCACGGGATGTTGACCTCGTCCGTCCACGCCCGCTCCTCCCGCGCGAACGTCCTCGGGCACGGGAACTTTGCCCTCGAGAACTATCTTGATGGTCAGAAGGCTCTAGAAGTTCCTGTTCACTGTCAATAGAGCGATTGTTACGTTCTTCGACAGCTAGCTACCTGTCGCATGTCTCAGATTACTTCTGTGAACAAAACAAGCCAAAATACAGCTCTAAAATTAAAAGTAGGAATCAGAATAATAATAATAAAGTACGTACTTACCAAAAATTTCATCATCAATGTCGGAATCTTCATCACATTGTAAGGCATCTAATATTTCACGCGATGCTATAATTCGCAGCATTTCGTGCCAAAAATCGACGTGCTCTCTCAAATATATTTAGCTGCGTACTGGCCGCCGCGTGCTTCAAACGATCGGCTGTCGTAGTTGAATGAACTTACTTACACAGCGGTATTTTGTTCCAATGTGTGTATAATATCAACAAGAATCTTATTTCGTTCGCAGATCTCGGACAGGATACGAGATTTATGAACAATAAGTAAGAAGAAAATGCATCACGTATCCTATTTGAGACGCGCGAGTGAGATTTTAACCGCCCGCACGTATCTTATTCGTGATCCGCTGGCAAAGTAACGGTGGTAATATCGAACAAAATATTTTGATATCGGATATAAGTAAATATAATTAAATATTTTTAAGTTTAATTGGTTTGTGTTGGATCCTCCTATGCAGCTCGAGAACAGAGATTGGATATAATACTTAGTGCATAATTGATGGGATATATACTGGAGATAATGGTGATTTTTGCAAAAACAAAGAATTTGAAGCTTCGGGGCACAATGAAAACAAAAATCCCAGCGCTTTGTATTTTTCAGGGATTTTAGGGGACACTTTGAGGTTAAAATATTACCGACGATATCCTTCGGTCATCCATTTTATCCAAATATCCTTAATAATGCGAATTTTTGTCTTTTTTTTTCAGTACGGGTTTTCATTATTTTTTTCCAAAATCTGTTTACATTTTCTCATAGAGAATATCGTGTAGTTTTCAAAACCCTCCTTCGATTTCCTATACGATCATTCTTTCCGGAGTTACAACTCGTTGAAAATCACCCAAAAATTTGATTTTTTTTTTATATAGGTACCTTAATTTTTGTGACTAGTTTAGTTTATAAAGTATATTATAGTTACAAACACGAATAAAATTATGAAAACTTATTCCTAAAAGGTTTCCATGTTTAGTTGATTCACTTGATGATTCACAATTAATGGTTTCTGGCAGCAAGTGAGAAAAATGAGAAAAATCGAAGAACCGTCACATTTCTTTAACCCATGGACGTATAAAAAAAGGCGGACAGAATTTCGGCTAAGACAAAAGTGAGGCACCGTAATGGCGGCGGTTATCTATGAGTGAGTGAATGCAGGGTTGCTAGGTTAGCCAATATTTTACCAATAAAACACAGTAAAAAGATCAAAATATTTTAATTGTTCAAAATTTTACCCGACTGCGGTGGATAATGTTTTTCGAGCGTGTATGCATGTATGTATGCCCAATAATAAGGCGCCAAAATGAAACCTTTAGAAAAAAAATGCTTATAACCCGTCAAGCGAGGTATCAAAGTAAAGGGTCTTAAAAGAATGCAGTGGATCCCCGGTAGTCCGACAAACATTTTGCAGGGCAGTGTCGAACTATCGAATTTGTCGGATTATAGAGTACTGCCTAAGACCCCCTATAGTCCGAATTTTTTTACAAAAGAGTACCTTGTAATCCGACAAATTACAGATCCAATGATAAGATTACAAAACATACTTTGTTATGTATGTCAAATTGAGTAAATTAAACAACACAATAGAAAGATTATGTTTTATTATAAAAGTAACGTCAAATGCTATAGAATTTACAAAAAAATATAAAAAACAATACCCTACGCGTCGAGCACAATAGTGATGGTGCGTACAAGTTGTAACTTGTTCAATCGTGAATTAGCGAATACTTGTATGTAATAGACGATGTCGGATTATAGGGGGTGCCGCATTAGCCAGGGGCCGGATTACCGGGGCTCCACTGTATTTAGAAAATAGGTATGCAAATCGTGTACTTAAAAAAAAATCGTGTTGCACTCGGGGACTGCCGCGGTAAAGCTATTGCATAGCATTATTTGTCAACTTATGCAATAATACTATTTATTTATGCAGTATTTTTTTTCTTTGATATTAATTCAAGTTTTTTCTCTGATATTAATAGATGGCGAGGCAGGCCTTATGATATTTTATTGGGCAAGCACAGCAAACAACAGCATTGCCCGGCGCCAAAAAACTTCCACATGCTCCACAGTTTACCACCTTTAGTCCAAAAATTATAATTATAGTCTAAATAAAAGGGAGACAAATAAAAATAAGAACAGGTGCTGGGGTCTAAAACAAATATATAAAAAATGGAAAAAAAATATAATAAAAAATAAAACACGAGTGCGGGATTTGAACCGACGACCGCGGTGATGCGTCGAACGTTGGTCCCGTGGCAAAAATTTAACACACTGCACCGTTTCGATCGATACTGGAAAGGCGAAAATTGTGTTCATACGCACTGTTTTTAAGTTGGCATTGATCGAAATGTTTTGTTTAAATATTATCGTTAGTAATATTATTTATCGTTGAAAATATTTTAAAACTTTTGTTTCATTGTAGGTTTTTTTAAATAATCAAAGTTAATTCAAACTATTATATATAACAAATATTGACTTTTTTTATATTCCACTTTTTTTTCAACACTGAACTTAGCGCACTTTGCTGGTGCATTTGAAAACAAATTCACGTTCCAATTAATCATCAGCATAATTCGGCATTGGTAGCCACTGAGTCGCATTATGCTCTGTAATTGGAAAACTAACATGAAGTCTGTTTTTATTTTTGTATGAAAAAGTTTATATTTTCCACTTTTCATAAGCCAGAGTAAATCACCTAAATATGCCTGGCCAGGCCTGCATTCTTTTTTATATTTCTTAAATTAACAAAACATGCATTGAGTACTGTTTGTAATTGAGGAGTTCCATTGTTTCCCTCCGAAAATATTCATCAGCTCTGCACTTAATTAATACAGCCATCTCGCTAATAAACTGATTCAAACAAAAAAATAATCATCAAAATCGGTCCACGAATCTAGGAGATATGCACGAACAACAATTGAAAAAAAAAATAACAAATATGACGTATAGAACCTCTTTCTTTTTGAAGTCGGTTAAAATTTTTAATTTACCTTTTGAGGTACTGCATGCGTAACAACACGCCGGAGTCCTCTTTTAGTAGTATATAAGTCTCCAGCTTCAAAATGGATACTGCAAATGACACTATATTTATTTGGAATACATTCATCATCTCCGTTACAATTCCTAATAACTTGGATCCATTTATTTCTCCATTCTACATTTTCTTTAGGGAATCTGATAAAAAAGAATAACAAATAATAGATTGAAGCTAATGTCACCCCAATTTCCCATATTTTAGGTAATATGGTTACGTGAACATTGACAACACTGGACTTTAGATTAATTATTTTGTGCTTAGAATGAAAATTGATTTCGATTTCTAAAAACTAGAAAAAAGTGATTATATTGTTCATTTACCTATGAAACGTGATTCCTGGATTTTTTTTCTTTCGGTCACTACGGTTTTTACACCATTTTACCACGCAAGACATCTCGTTTTAACTTATTTTTATCTCCACTTAACGTATCGGCTGCTTTGACGTTTGCACGCGTAATGGCTGACTATGGTGTGAATGTGTGTGTGCCGACTTGTACATATAGCGACCTGGCCGACTCTGAGCGACACAGTTTGTTGTTTACCGGGACTCTGTCCGCCTTTTTTTATACGTCCTTGTCTTTAACCATCCAGTTTTGAGCCCTAGTTCACTGGACTTAATTTGTTGCTTATGAACTGTAGTATAACCCCTTTCAAGGAATAAATCTAGTTATCCTGTCACGCTGCAAAAGTAAATCGTGTATCATCATCATCATCATCATCGACCCATGCTCGTCCACTGCTGGACATAGGTCTCCCCTAATGCACACCACTGCTCCAGAGTTTCTGCCACTCTCATCCAGCCCACTCCAGCCAGCCTACGAATGTCATCCTCCCATCTTGTCTCAGAGCGTCCCACACTACGTTTACCGAGTCGCGGTCTCCACTCAAGAACTTAACTAATGTGACCAGCCCACTGCCACTTCAGTTTGCTAAATCGTGTATGGCGGCCGACATTTATTTCATATTCTTAGAGCTCGTTCCCACTTGTCGGGTGGCGGATCCGTATATTAATCGGATGTCGGCGCCTTTGTTCACACTTCGGTTGATAATCGGTTGTCGGCCACAATTTTAGCACTCTACGCGAGCCGACTGTGCACGATGGATGTCGACGAAGTTCTTGCTGTGGTGTACCTATTATTATTTAAGAAAACAAATAAAGAGAGCCAAGAAAAGTAAATATTGAGTGCACATAATCGTGAGGGATCGATTGAGTTTGGGTACATTTAAGAATTAAATAACAGAATTGAGAAATGACGAAATTAAGTGTTTCAATTACTTCAGGATGTCAATATCAACATTCAATGATCTACTGACTCAAATATTAGTGATCGTAAACTACCAAAATACAGAACTTACGAGACAGCATTTGTACTGAAGAAGGGTTGCGTTACGGACGGAACAAGGCGTAGCGGGGGAGGATAGTCAGCCCCGACACCCGACAAATATGGACAGCGCCATTCTTAATCATAGGCGAGCAAGATCCGACACGATTTTTTTTCCGGGCGTAGAGGGCTGGCAAAACACCCGACACAAAATCGGTTTCCGATAAGTGTGAATAGCTTCATATATAATGCTCTGACACTGGAATCTCCGATTAATATTCGGATCCGACACCCGACAAGTGGGAATGAGCTCTTAGGGTGGATGTAATGATGGGATCATCAACAAAACAAGACAGCCGGTTATGTAATCAATTGTTTAATGTAATATTAATAGTAAGCTACTTTTTAATATTCAAGTATAGATGTACCAATAACGTATCTGGTAAATAAAGTAGCCAAGTTTATATGTATATCGGACAGTAAAGAAGTATGTACTTAACTGGCAAATTCTAGAAAGTAAGAAATTTTATTTGTAACAACATGTGTAAGAAAGACGTTCAGTGATAATAAGCTTAGTACATAACATGTTGTGCCAATATCGGCATACAAATTAATTATTATTTATATTCATAATTATTATTCTAAGATTCAAATTACAAAAATCAAAATGTCAATACTGTCAATTCAATAATTAAATGTCAATAAATTTGCCATAACTATAAACATAATAGAATAAAAATAAAATAAAATCACAATTTGTCAATTACAAATTGTGATACATTATAATAACATTTATCAATTAATAATTTCCTGATTTTCTGTTTAATCAGATTATAATTTAAATCTTTCAAAGATGTTGGGAGTTTATTATATATTCGAGGAGCCATACAGAATACATTATTTCCCATGAGAGCTGTTCTGGAGTTGGGCATGCAAAGTCTACTGTTATCACGTCTGTTGCGATCCAGTACACCTGCCATTTTTTATATTTTAAGAAATAAGGTTTACAACTGTCCATAGCTTTTAAACCAAACATTGCTCATAAACATCTTTTTTGCATTTTAAATGCTATCTCTTTGTCAGTAGAATTCCCCCAGAAGATAATACCCTATCTCAGAATTGACGCAGCTAAGCTGTGATATGCGGTGAGCAGGGCGTCTGTGTTCAATAAGGAGGAAAGTTTAAACACATTGACTTTCTTGACGGATTGACATAAACTTTTCTCTTGCGCTCGCTCTATCAATTGCTGAAAACTGCATTAAAATCCGTTGCGTAATTCTAAAGATCCGAGCGTACAGACTGCGGAAGCAACTCTGTTTTATAAATGTTTGTAGATTTAAAAGGTATGGAGGTATTTTTTATTAAATAATAAATACATTGCAGCGTTTTTCAAATCTTGTGTACGTATACCTTAATATTAGTAATATTAGACTGGCACATCTTCACTATCTTCCTTAATCGACACAATTTCGGTATCCAGCTCTTGTTTAATGATTACTTCATGATTTAGACAACGGTTGGATTCAGTTAGCAATGGCGACATTTCACGCAGACACGACGCAGATTTCGATGCGACCGCATCTTGTTGCACCCATGGCTCAGTGGGCGAGTTAATCGGATCGAATCGGTTAATCTTGTGTTCGTATACCTTAATATTACTGAGTGGCACATCTTCTTCGCTATCTTCCTTATTCGACACAATTTCGGTATCCAACTCTTGTTTATTGATTACTTCATGACTTAGACAACGATTGGATTCTGTTAGCAATGGCGACATTTCACGCAGACACGACGTAGCTTTCGATGCGACCGCATCCTGATGCACCCATGGCTCAGTGGGCGAGTTAATCGAATCGAATCGTTTAATTTTGTGTACGTATACCTTAATATTAGTGACTGGCACATCTTCGCTATCTTCCTTAATCGACATAATTTCGGTATCCAACTCTTGTTTAATGATTACTTCATGACAACGATTGGATTCAGATAGCAATGGCGACGTTTCACGCAGACACGACGTAGCTTTCGATGCGATCGCATCTTGTTGCACCCATGGCCACACACCACAACGTTCTACACCCATTGGCTGATGATATGCTGGTATGGAAAGAGCAGCCGCTGTATTCCGGAAACAATGTCCAGTATAGAGCTCCGGATTCGGCAGTTTGAGGTATTTCGCGATTTGTTTTGGCATCGCACCGATTTTGTTCTTCCCTATCACCTGTTTGGTGCACCTTCCGTTGAGACAATGCAAGAAGAGCCGATTGGTCTCCATGTCCGCGGGGCGTAAGCTCAAATACTTTTCGACAATAGCCACTTCCTCGTTGCGGCTAATGACGAAAGACCTCTTCGTTTTTGTACTCGGCAAAATGACTACAGACAAGTGATCCGAATGTTTCTGGATATCATTGACCGTTACATTACTAAGTTCGTAACGATGACACGCGCCATTCACACCGACAATCAGAGCTACCTGTAACCATAACAGGTGCGCATATAAGAAACTTTAGTCGGCAATTGCTTAATCTTTTTGAAGTGAAACTTCTTTAGACACTCTTGACTTGGGGTGTAAGCAGGCGAATGTGTTACGGTTTCGCGTTACCATTAGTGTCATTGGTGACCTATCGGTAAACAATGAACAATACCCATCAAAAAATACATGAATCTAGTGCTTGGTGGATGATAACTTACCCAGCGCGGATTGGTGGGTGATAATAGTCCCAGCGCAGATTGGTGGGTGACAATGGACCCAGTGCGAATTGGTGGGTGATAACGAATCCAGTGCAGATTGGTGGGTGATAACGGACCCAGCGCAGATTGGTGGGCAACAATGGACCCATTGCAGATTGGTGGGTGATATCCGACCCAGCGCGGATTGGTGGGTGATATCTGACCCAGTGTGGATTGGTGGGTGATAACAAACCCAGCGCAGATTGGTGGGTGATAATGAATCCAGCGCAGATTGGTGGTTTTTTTTCTATCAACAAATCTTCAGGTTACGTTTATGATTTTCAGATCATTGGAGCTAAAGAAGTTTCACTTCAATGGTGTGGCCATAAGCACACTCATTTTTGTAAGTTTTATATAGCAACTTACTTTTAATGCAAGATAACTGTCATCCGGTGCCTCCTTTAAAAAAGTATCAATATTTGGCGATGTAAAAGTTTTGGACTTCTTCGAGTGCCTTTTAGACTGATTTTTTAGGAAGGTCAATAAGCTCTTGAATGTATTGATATGAATGTCATGCTTTACACGCACCATTGCCTTCAGCATCGAATACATATACCACAGAGTTTTGGGCTTCTTGGACTGTGACATTTCACTAAAATATTCCAAGAACAGATCCTCGGAAAAAGGTGCCACACTGCTCCTAGAATTTTTCCATTTTATGAATTCCTCATATGTCCAAAAATAGAGCTTTTTTGTACTTGAAGATAATCTAGCCATAACGTTTCTGTCCTCAGCTTCGATATTCTCTGCGCTTTCATCACTCGAAGACATTATTATAAAGCACATTAGTCTTACAAGTTCTGAAATTTAAATAACAGTATTTATTCTTATATTTTATAACAATTTCTGAAATTTCGATAACATTCTTTATCTACAAGCACCTGTTTGAAGTTAGCTGTTAAAGCCCAAAGGGAGCTAAAGCAGTAGTTCCCTTGGGTAATATGTACTGGCTTTTAAATTTGGAACGCCAGTGGCAACAACAACTTAAATCAAAAATTGTTACGAAAACAAAACAAGGTTGTACAAGACATGACTTCCTCGGTTGGATGGATTTCTCAACACATTCACTTGCATTTCTAGGGATTTAACTTATAAATTCACTATCTTTTATAGCACAGATTTCTTTTATTATATGAAAATTTTAAAATAAAGACTGGAGTCGAAAAGTATTTTTTTTTTTAAGTTTTACGGCCGTGGAGAAAAGTAAGGTTGTTAATTAGTGATGCGATTCGAGTTGCTTTTCACTCGAGTGACTCGAGTAGTTTTTATATTACTCACACTCGAGTTATATTTTTGACAACTCGAGTTGACTCGTACCACTCGAGTGGTTTATACCGAGCCGAGTGAGAAATTCAAGTTGTGACAAGTTTACCCGCTGTAGGTTCTCTTTGGAATTACGTAGAAATATGTTTGTGTGAGTTGTTACTGTCCTAAATAACCAAATTATGACTGTGTGTTATCAGTAAAGTGGTGAAAATGAGTAAGTGTAAAAAAAGTAATTATGTGGTAATTTTTTGACAAAAATTTAGAAGAAAAAACCGTTATTTGTAAGTTTTGCAAAAAAAGTTACAATTTTAGCAATACAACTAACTTGATTTCTCACATGAAAAATAAACATCCAGTTCAGTACAAGCATAGGAGTGGTGAATGTAGTTCGTCACAAGCATGTTCTTCGAGTGAAGAAAAATCATTTCGATACCTTAATTTGCAAACCTAATTAACTTTTGATACCGGTAGAAACTAGATTTTTGAAATAATAATAACTCCATGATTACCAACTGTATTGATGTAAAACGCCATTTAAAAATCAAACAACTCCTCGTGAAACGAAACGCATCGTTTTTGGCAAAATAATCGAATGTCTCCCACGCAGTCGGATATTTTTTATGGCGTCACGGGAGCGTACGAATGCTCTCGAAGATTTATTTTCAATACACTATTAAAGAATAAGTTATTGAAATTCATTTTCGCTATATAGGCATATTATCCTTATAAACTATTTTTTTTTGTTTTTGTTTTACTGCGGCTGCAAAATCTTTATTTTAATAAATATAAATTATTATAACCACATTCATCGACTTTTGGACGGTATGAAGTTCGACTGACTCTGTCAGCTAGTTAGATATAAAGAAAATATAGAGAGAGAGATTATATTTAAATGTTTTAAGCGTGATTTTTTTACCGGAAGCCTACGAATATACGTTGGACACTCTGAAACTTTTGAGAAACTAAAAAACCTAACTTCTATGAAAAAAATATTTTTATTAAAATTTTTCAAAGAACTCCCCACCAGTCCCTATACAAAGTTTGCGTCTGAACCAATTTTCAAATATTTTTTTCCAGTCCTCCGCAGACACCTCTTCCACGGCCTTCTCAAATGCTGCTAACGCTTCTTCCGGCGATGAAAACTGTATTCCTTTGAGCTGATTTTTTATTTTAGGGAATAAAAAGAACTCACACGCGGCCAAATCAGGACTGTAAGAAGGGTATCCCAAGTAGGGACACGAAAAATGTATCGATACTTGTGGTATCGAGTACTTTTCCTTTCGATAATGATTTCGTATTCGATACTTTTACTAAATGACTACTTTTTGGCAATACTTGCCTTGATACCTTTAAAAATTTGGATAAGCGCCTCATATTGTTGGCAACGCCATCTGTCCCCGTGAGGGTGGAGGACCTAAAAAACTTACCTATATGACGAAAGAAGAAAAATCACGAAGAAAAATCACGAAAAAAAATTCTGATCTACAGCAACTTAAGTCATCTATGCCCCGTCATTATCACGCCTATAACGATGCGTTGCTACACGAAAATTAATTATTTTCATTTATAAAACACAATTTGTTTGTACGATTATACTCTGCTTAAAGTTTAAGATAAAACAAACAACTCCACTTTTAGTTACAATATTTTTTAATTAAATAACAATTATTGCCTAAACCAAAGCTAACTACTCTTTTTTTTATTATAACGCAATGGTTTAAAAAAAATGTTTTTAAGTGTTTTTAGATAAATAAAAACCATAATTTACAACGGGATTTTTGGTTCTATTCATTGCGTTAAATAAAATTTATTATAATGTTTTAAGTCTCTCCTGTGAAATTTGCTCCAGAGGAGTTAGTAGGTTTTAAATTAGGGTATTGATTTGTGTTTGCGTTCGAAAATGTTGGTCACTCGGAATATAATCCGAGTGAATTGAGTCAATAATAATCACTCGAGTTTTATCTTCACTCGAGTGGCATTCGAGTGATAAAGTTACCGGTACCGAGTGACTCGAGTGAAAAAAATCACTCGAGCCCCATCACTAGGTTGTTTTGACAGATGGTAATTGTCTGGTTGAAAAGGGTTGCATCCAGGGTTGGATTTTGTACTATAATTATAGTATTTATACTATAATTTCGCCCTTTGTACTATATACTATCCACATCTCAGGATAGTACGCTTAAATACTATAATTTAAAGTTTGCTCCCGAATGCTTAGTTTTACGTCATATTTTGAATATTTCGACCGTGCGTGTATGCAACCGAATTCTGATCTTTCGATATTTGAGTCGTATAGTATCAAAGGCGGCAAAGTAGGTAGATTTCCAAAAATGAGATACGAGTATGGTAACATAGGAAATTTAAAAACAAATCTTAAAAATCTCTCATACAGGATTACAGATGACCATAATACCCTTAAAAACTTGATTGAAAACACAATTTGGTTTCAAAGGTGGCAATCTTTCTCATCTCGTAATCATAACCGGCCATATTTTAATTTCAACCAATCAGAAGAGTTTTTGCAATAGCGTCGCAACATGGCAGAAAGTGCAGTTCAATACATTTTTGTCTTGAGTTTTTAGTGATTTAAAGTTTCTTCTTTAGTGTTTGATACTTATCATGGAGAAAACTCCAACACGTACTACTAATTACACAAGAAAATGAAGAAGGAATAGCGATACATGGAAGAGGAATGTGATAAAAAGCTGAGATAATTTCATGTTATTTACTAGGTTAGGGTTGGCGCCCATTCGGTTTTACTATGTAAATATAATTACACGGATAAAAGTCACAAAAAACATTATAATAATATTATTTGTAGATTTGTTTTGATAGTTACGGGTCCTGCCCGTGGAATATTGTTTCATGATTGAAACGTGATTTTTGTTATCCTTTTCTCCACATAACATTACCAGTAGGTATTATCCATATACTAATGTGTATGTAGAAATATAGTTTTTGTATTTAAAATTTTAATAAATAGGAGCGATAGAACGTACAAATATTCTACTCTCGTGCTGGCAAACACATATTATGATGTCTGCGGTGTGTGCCCAATTGCAAGTGATCTTCCAAATAGAACGCAAGACTCCGGCTTAATAAAACCTGGTCTTTAGTTTCTTATTATTAATTGATTTTTTTATGTTTAAGCCCATGTCATTAAAACCATAAAAGGAAATTTTATTTTTAACATTGTGTGATTGCGTAAACAAAAGTTTTGTTTTTTACTACCAAATAATGTTAGTTATTTTTTATTAATTTAAAAAAAATGATTTTTGTTTCAGTCTATTATTTGTTCTTTATTTCTGTTAATTTTCAATAAAAATATTAATTCAATATAAGAAACTTTAATTTTGACAACCCTGTTCATACTCGGCTATCATAACATTTAGTTCGCGTCAAAGGCGGCCATATTTACCAAGCTTCGGTTCAAAACAACTACTTTTCATAAACGTTTTTTTTTTAAACATACCTAAATAATAACGTCAGAAAGAAAAGTGGACATCTCGATTTCTTCTCTCTCGAGTAACATTTGGTTGAAACAGCAGCTTTGAAGAAAGAACATTATTATTTAGGTTCTTAATTATAGCACGTAACTGTACACACATATATTATTTAATACTAGCAAACCAGTGAACCAAATATTCACCAAAAAAAAAATGTATTTAATTAATTGAGAACTTCGGAGATTTTGTGTGGTTTCGTTTGAAATAGAAATCACGTGATTTCTCGAAAACCGGAAGTGCTACGTTACTCACATCCGGTTTGTAGTCTTATCAGACTATTCTCAACTTATAACTTCAAACATTCTCTTTATCTATCTCTTACGGTTTGGCCGCTGAAACAGCACCACGAACGGACGGACGGACGGACTTGTCTAATAGTTAAGAGATTATTTTGGTTACAGTTTTGTTTGTAAAACTATAAACGTATGTATTTCTGGATCTCGTGCGGTAGGAATATTTGATAATTCAATAATGATATGGTATTTATCTTAATCTTATTTTTTAAGGATTTTCGTAAATTGAATTAGTTTGGTTCTATACACAACTCTTTATGCTGGAGAAGACTCATATACAATATTCGTTTCGTTATATTGTTTAATTTACATGATTTGTGTTTGTTACGTAAAAAAACTACCCATAAGGAAATAAATAGTTATGGGATAGAAAAACCGTCTTATGTTTTATCCGTAATCCAACATATGCATAATTTATTTGTTTGTTAAAAAAGTGATTTTTTATATAAAAATAAATAGAAATATTCACGTTTATATAATAAAAGGTAAAAGTAAATTTTTGTTGAACGAAGTAACTAAAGTGAATGCAGATCGTTCAACAGGATTATACTGCGAGCTCTTTAGTCGACGAAACTAGATTTAAAAAAAATCACGCAAACCAATCTTTAAAAAAGAGTTTTATTAAGTAACGAAACATAGTTAACTGTATTGCCAAATACAGTTAACAGCTAAAGTTCTTTTTTGAGTAAAGACGATAACAATTTATTAATGTTACAAATAAAGCCTTATAAGGGA